TGGATGGGTGACTCCATTAGGGAGGACAGAACTATTGCCTGGTAAGGGCTTTCCCATTTCTGTAACCCCCCGCCACCCTATCCGAAAAGCATGCTAACATTTTTCAAGCTGTTCAATAGTTGTTTGCGCAGACAATAGCAGGTTGTTTTCGTTTCGCCTGCTGCATCATGAAGAGTTTGCCTTCACTCCCTGATTTCAGAAGTGAGTTTGAAGCGGGACATGAATGCATGAAGCCCTGAAGATCAAGTTACTTGATGTAGAATCTTGCGTACAAGATGTACAAAAGACTACAAAAGTCTTATCCCACTTAATTGAAGCTACATATATTTGAGGCAGAGTGAAAGTTGTTTTTACTCTGCTGAAATTAATTCTACATCTGTCCAGGCTGGTTTATGTTAGTTTAGCTAATTTCTTTACTACATTTGCAGAAGTTTTGTTAAGATTAGCTGCATTAAATCTTTGAAAGATACCATATATACAGTATATATATACAGTTTTTAACTGTATTTTCGGCTTTGTTTTCCAAGTTTTGAAGATTGCGATTACAAACTTTTGTTTTCAGTACAGCTGGTCACAGACTGACTGATGTAAAATTAGTTTTTATTTTATTTTATTTTATTTTTATATTTGTTTTATTTTATATGTTTATGTTTGTTTATTTATTAATTTATTTTTGACGTTTTCATAGACTGGCACTGCTGTAAAAGTAGGTATTTATTTGTTTTATTTATTTATTTATATGATCACACAGTTTACATATATTTCCTCTCTCTTTTTTTTTTTTTTTGATGTGTTCTGTACAGCTATTCATGGACTGACATTGCTGTAAAATTTATGTATTTAATTTATTTTATGTTTTTTTATTTATTATTTTATTTTATTTTTTATTATTGTATAATCAGAAAGTTTACATATATTTCCTCTCATGTTTAGCCGGTCATGGACTTTTAAAAAATGTATTTTATTTTATTTTTTCATATTTAGATAAATCTGTCCCTAAATGTCATGTTAAAAAAAAAACTCTGCTTTTACACGTTACTTGAACAATCTTTTCCTTGTCTAAGTAGGCGAAAACTACATATGGTAGTGACCAGCTGTGGCGGTTATTTCAGATGGATAGTGTTGCTTTGCTGGTTTACTGGACTGGTTATTGATTTTTCTATAATCTGGCCCTTTTCAGGATTGCAGGACTGTCCATCACAGATCTCCTCAGGAGAAAACCCTTTGCAGATATTCCAGAAACAGCTTTTCATTGAGATGCAGTGGAGGTGTTGAGAGCTTGAGATCTCTGAGATAAGCAGGCTCTTCAGTACAGATGGCATTGCCAAGGGTGTAGATACTACTGTAAATGGATGTCATCAGTTATTGCGTGAGGATAGTCGTCATGCTAGCGGCTGTGCCAGTGAAGCAGATGTGACTATCTGTCTCCATTCATAAGACAAGATGTTTATGAAGCTCTCTGGTTGTGTGAGGATGTTTCTCAGGAGAGCTCGAATGCTAACAGGGTCTTTAAGGCAGTTAAGAAGTACATAAAATAACAGCATATCAGTGACAGAGCACATAAAGATCACTGCTTGTAGCTTTAGCTTTACCTATAATTTGATTTGCTTTATGGCAGATACAATTTCTAACCTTATTGATTTCCTCATGGATTTGTTTCTCTGTTTTTTCCACACCAACAGAAGCAAACTCTCACTCTGCGGTCTCTTTTTCTCTCAATTTCTTCTGTTTCCAGGTCGGTCGTGATCTAGATGAATGTATGTCTAAATCCAGTGCGTGTCCCCGTCGCTGACACACATAATCAGGGTGAAACCCCACGCGCCGACTGACCGCATATCCCAGTTCTGTCCACTTGTCTTTTAGAGCGAGCTGTAAATTAATTTGTCTCCACAATTCAGACAGATCACATCTCCAGTGTTCAGCCTCTTCCGACCCAACATAATCAGCATTTGCATGTACATTTCATGAATTTGGCAGTGTGTCTTACAGGCAATTCATATTATATATTTTATCAGTATCTGTTTTTCCTGGAAATGAATCGATAGACAGATATGATCAAACAGTTGATATTAAAAGTTTGTGACTATCCAAATCAATCAAGCATATTATTTTTAACAATTTTTTTTTAAATATTAAAATATAAAATTATAATATATAATCAAATAGTTATATCAAAGGTTAATAAAATATATATTATATTATAAAAAAATATAATATTATAACATGTAATCAGATATTTTGAAATGTATTTAATATAATATGAATATAATTTATATTATTATATTAAACACACACACACATATATATATATATAATACTATATTAATATATAATCTTTAATACATAATATTTCATATATACTTTTTTTTAGAGTTTAGTTAGTTATTTTAATTTATTTATTTATTGCTTTGATTTGAAGTTTGATATGTTGTAATTAATCACAGAGCTGTTTTTTTTTTAGTTCAAGACTTTACTGAAGAGTTTTGAAATTTGTATTGGGAAAATTGCCAAGCCCCCCCAGACTGATCAAAAGCCCCTTATACACACCAGGCATGGCGGAGCGTCCTCATGACTATCAGGGTGTGAGCGTGTAAAGGGCGCTTTTATCACATGCTTTACTCTTGAGGAACAGAGATGGTGACACAGCGTTGTCAGTCAATAAAGCAGCTCTGAGCGCAAATGTCAGTGACACGCAGCAGGTGAGCTCTGCAGCGGCGGAGAACAGCGGATAGATGTCGAGCTACTCCACAAAATCAGTGCAGCCCCTCGAACCCTGGTATCATCAGTGATTGCCACCTAAATAGTGCAGATTGGTTTTGCATGTATTGAAGGGTGAAGGGTGGAGGCTGAGGATCTTGTCATTTTGAAGATTTATCCAGCATGGATTGGAAGGAAGCTGTGCATTTGCTAAATCAAACCCATTTGATTCTTTCAGAGAAGAACAGAGAACAAATGATAGTCAATAGCTGGCTTTGTTTAGATTGGTATTGATTAGTGTTTATGGTTGTTTATTGGCGGTTGGCGAGGAAGGAGGCAATCATCTCAAGCATAGTTCAGATACAAGAGCAGAATGCTGAAAATCCTTGAAATCAGAAGCCAATGCTGTGACAGAGACCATATATAATATTTCAACTGACTGAAGAAAAACTCACATATAAACACGCAGATTCGCTTTGATTCGTGTGTGCATTTCAGTGCCATTTTATTAACAAAAAAACAAAACTAATCTTGAATCTTTTGTTTTTATCCAGTGCACAGAGACCTTAAAGGGATAGTTCACCCAAAAATGAAAATGTGATGTTTATCTGCTTACCCCCAGGGCATCCAAGATGTAGGTGACTTTGTTTCTTCAGTAGAACACATATGATGATTTTTAAGTCCAGCCGTTGCAGTCTATCAGTCGTATAATGCATGGCAATGGTAACAAAATCTATGAGAGTAAAAAAAACATGCACAGACAAATCCAAATTAAACCCTGCGGCTCGTGACGACACATTGATGTCCTAAGACACGAAACGATCAGTTTGTGTGAGAAACCGAACAGTATTTATATCATTTTTTACCTTTCATTTTTGGGTGAACTATCCCTTTAATTGTTAATTAGTAGTGTGTGAGCAATTTTGTTCACGTGTCTAAGGCTAAAGTAAATCTCTAGGTATCAGTACGTGCATCAATCATAGAAAAACCCATATCAGTCAACCACTAATAATAAGTATGCATTTTGTCAAAATACATTAATGTCCATTTAAAACAATCCTTTTCTTAGCACTTCGATAATTTAAACCTACTCAGTAGTGTGATTTTTGTTAACATCCTTGTATGTTTGCATATAAACTCTTGCTTGATCAAAAGCAGTTCTTTTAAAAATAGATTTTTATTTTCATTTTCCTTAAAAATTTATTTGAACATTTTATAATTTTTTAATATTTAAAAAAATAATTGTAATTTTAATTATTATTTTATTTGTTTTAATATTTTATTAATAATTCTTTATGAATAATAATTGTAAATCAAATAATTCTTATAATAATTTTTCTGTCATCTGTCATCAGTTTCTGTCATTTTCAGACTCTAGGATTTAGGTCTTAGGTTTTAAGATTCTATTTACATTTATTATTTATACATCTTTTCATTTTTTCACAAAATCATGTTACTTCGATAGTGTTTAGTTATTGCTGTGTCTATCCACCAGCAATAATAAATCCAGGATCTAGTTTCAGACCTCTTTATTTATCATTTAATCCACATATTTATCTCCACACATATCAGAGCTCCTTGTTAAGAATATTATATGAAATATCATCTCACAGAATGTTCAACCTGCCAGCAGCGCTACCCTCATTTAAAGTCATACGTTTTATGGGTTTTCATTCACAAGGTTGTGAGAAGCTATCTGCAGTGACAGCAGATATTATCTGACATTTTGGAGGTGAATGCTGCAGTGAATGTCAAATCAGAGACAGAATTCTTTCCCATACAAGGATGTTCTAGGTGATGTGAGGAATAGTCCTGTTTTAATAACCTAAAGGAAAATTTGTAAAAAATTTACAGGAACCAGAATAAGTCAAAGGCACTGAGTCGTCCCAGGACAAACTGTCTTGTGTTTTGTCCTACAGTGCGGTTTATCTTGCACCGCATCCTTTAACGGCCTGAAGCTCTGACGCTTTATTTCTCCCTTTCATTATTTAAATGCAAGGCCATCCATTTCATTATTAAAACGCTTCTGAGAGGTCTCAGCCTTGTTTTCTTTTTACTTGCGCTTATTTGTTTTTTATTCAAGAAGAAGCTCTTGGTTTGAAGTTTCTCATAATAATAAATATACTGCGAAAATTGCATTTGAGTTTTTTTTTTTGAATGCTGCAGACTTCCTACATAAAAGACGGTGATGTTTTTGAAGGCTACATTTGTTCTTATCATCCTTAAGATCAAAAAGCATTCCAGACTTCAATATATGTTCTGTTATATGTATTTGCCTTTCAATTGTGTTAAACTCTTCCAAGGTCCCTGAGTGGTCGAGCCAGAGATCATGAAGTGGAACCTCTTCAAAAAGAAGCCAGAAGCCATGGTGGGCCCGGAGCCCACGGGACCTGGCGGCACCCACCCGTCACACACCATGACGATGGCCCCCGCTGTCTCCACACCTGCGGACAACTCCACCGAGTCTGAGGGGCCCGTCAACAAGAATGATGTCTTTGAGGAAATCAAAAGCAAGTTCCTCAATGAGATCGATAAAATCCCATGTAAGTCCTGCAGAGATGTTTTACAGTCCCACTACATCAAGAAAATCAATAGTGTATCATTATGCTGAAGATGTGTTATGGATTTAAATGCTGGCCAAATTGTCGGGCCCCTAGATATCTGACCAAGCTTACCTTCTTTCTGAACTACAGTAGAAGCGCAATGCAATAAAGAGCAACTTAAAGGAATAGTTTATTCAATAATGAGAATTTGTTAAGAATTTACTCACTTCATCAGAACAGATTTGGAGAAATGTAGCATTGCATCACTTGCTCTCCAATGGATCCTCTGCAGTGAATGGGTGCCGTCAGAATGAGAAATTTCACACCCTTCACACTCTTGGTGACAACCCATCTTCTAAATAAATTTCTTGAATTTTTATCCCATGATGCTCTGCAGTGCCTCCATGGGCGCTCATCGCCATCGCTGTAGTGGCCTCCCTCCTCATCCTCACCTGCTGCTTCTGTATCATTAAGAAATGCTACTGTAAGAAGAACAAGAACAAGAAAGTCAAAAAGGGAAAGGACGGCTTCAACATGAAGGACATGCAGGGTGGAGATGTATGTAACGGTGTTCAGTTGCACCCAACATGACAGAGTTACATAATGCAGCTAAAACAACTGATGCACACTTCAATCTGTTTGATTTTAGAATTAAAACTAGATGATATTAACTTCTATATTAACTGGGCACATCAACAAAAATTAGTGTTGCATCATTAAGAAATGAAAACAAGCCTCAGACCACTTTAGTGTGTGTTGCACTGATAATGAAGGAGAGTCTGTTATGTGATTAGCTTCATGCTTTTCTTTATTGTGTTTGTGAGTAATGTGAGTGTTTTGTTTCTTTGAAGAGAAATGGTACACTGGATGGTCCAAAACAAGTGTGCTGCTCATGTGATTTCGATCATAAAAAGATAGGAGTTTTAAAATCATTCTATGAAATGAGTGGCTTTAATTATTATGTTATGTTACAGTATGTATCATGAAATAATGTTACAGAATTCAGACCAGCAGTACAATTGTGAATGCGATATAGTTTCTTATTATTAAACAAGAAGTAAATATTGAGTAACTTACATTTTATAATCGATATTATTAGTTACAACTTGTAGTTCAAAGCACAATGAGTCATTTATAAAAACACTTCAGTTGATTTGTCACTGAATGAATCAGGGAATGAATTTGTCACTGAATGTTTCAGTGACTCATAAACACAGTAACTTGATTTGTCAGTGAATAAATCAATGCTTTTGAACTAATTGGTTGAGCGAATGATTTAGTGACTCACTCTTAAAGACAGTCACTTAATTTGTTGCTGAATGCATCACTGTTTTTTAATTAATCAGTTTGAACAACAAAAGAGTCAGTGAAAATCTCCACTTATAATGCACTACAGGTAGTTTCTTTTCTCGCAAGGATGCACATTTTGAGGAAAACAATATATGTTTTATCCTTATTCTTCAACGCGGAAGTAAGCCGTTTTCTGTGAATGTGCGAGATGTCCGGTTCATTAGCTGCCATAGGGAAATAACTAGAAGGATAACATAAACTTGTCCCTTTTAGACTTGCACTCTATTTATTTACTGCTTGTTTTCTTAAAAAAATAAAAATAACACTAGCTTTTCTAATATTTTTTGCATTCTATCTATTTGTTTTCTTTTTATTTATTATACAATTAACAAAAGCAAAAAAGGCCTCTAACACTAGCTTGCTCTATTCTTTTTCTATTCTATCTGTTTTCTTTTTATTTATTATATAATTAAAAAAAAACCTTGCTACGTGTACTGTGTTAAGCTAACTGAGACTTGTTATAGCACTTGCATATCATTGCTCTTTTGTTGATTTTTATTGCTTCCATTGTCCTCATTTGTAAGTCGCTTTGGATAAAAGCGTCTGCTAAATGACTAAATCTAAAGGAAAATGTAACAAAAGTGCAGTAAAAGGTAAAACTGTTTGCACTACAAGCCAGTGTGTTCATAATTAAGATAATACATTAAAATAATATGGAAAGACACACCAATTTGCAATATCAAGCAGCAAAAAGAGCTTTTTTGCACAGCTAAAAATAGCTGGACGCAGATGAGACCGGAAGCCAGACACATAAAATTTGTACAAATGGCCGCGACCAATCTTATGGTAAAAATAAGGTGGATATGGTAGCATTTTGTCAGTAATATCTATAATGTTAGATTTGTTACCCCAGTGTATTATTACAAAGACTTAAAGTTTCCAGAAACATACTGTTACCCTCAGTTTTGGGGAAAGTTACTTTTAAAATGAATGCATTACAATATTGTGTTACTATTTATGTTACTGAGTTACTTTTTATGGAATGTAATGCATTGCATTACTTTTTGTCACTTGAGCCGGGGTTGTTTATTAATTTTTTTAACAAAAAAAAACAAAAGTTGTATTTTTGGCAACTTTCACACCAAAAGTGAAATTATTGAGCCTCAGGCTGAAGAAAGTACCTCTTCCTTTGCACCTCAGTCCCAATTTCTCTCTGACGGGGACAGGAGAGGTGTCGGTGAATAAATGGGAAAACAAAGTAACTTGCGTTACTTATTTGAAAAAGTAACTCTGAAATGTTCTTGTTACTTGTAATGCATTACCCCTAACTCTGGTTAACCTGTTACTTTAGCATAAGATGGCATAATGAAGTATACCAAAAATTAGTATCTACAGTCTTACTGAAATGTACAGATATCATTCGATATAAAAAAAGACACTCATTTCATAGTTTGATCCTTAAAAACGTAATGCCAGAACTTTATTCCAAACCTGTATGCATATAGATGTCTTAAACATGGCAGTGTGTCATTCCTCACAATGGTGCTCTTGGTGTTGTTTACTGTCTTGAGACTGTCTTTGGTTCTGTTTTTTGGTGTGTCGTGAGTTCAACCTCTCCCTCTCTCTCTGCTCTCCTTCCTCCCGCTATGTGTCTAATGCGCCGCATTTCTTGACGCTCATGGGCGTCGGCGCTACGGTAGGTGGACGGATGAACGGCACAGCTGTTTGGCCGCTGAGTGCTAGCACCTCGTGGGTGGGATTGGATGGAATGGCTGTTGTAACTTCCTTGTTTTAAGCCTTTTGTACCAGCTGCTTGACAAGAATACAATTAAAAACAAAGGAAAGTTACAATGCAAATGAAAACCCCACTTAAGTGGACCAAAAATGATCTTAATACAATAACAAATAGTCGTACTTGTGTAGGAGGTGTGAATGGAATAACTAATTATTAACTCACTAATACTGGCAAGATGTTTGGAGTTAGTAAGAGATGACCCACAAGACTCACAATGAATGCATGTGTTAAAGGGCATGGCTGTTTTAACTGCACTAAAAGTCCTGATGTCTCAGGGGCTAGAACTAGCAGTAAACCTTAACTATCTAAGCTCATGTTCTGTGATCATATAAATGATTCAGTTTAATGTAAGAAAATATATGAATTACTGAATTCTTTTAAAAGCAAATGGAAATTAAGAATTTGTTTTTAATATTAGCACATATTCTGCTGTGCCCTTTAATTTGTTGCTATATGGATATGGTTAGGAACTGACTTGAGAGTGACAATTTTTTTGGTGGTACATTAAAACATCTATCAAAAAATCTTTAAATCAGTTTAACAGTCCTCATTTTTTACATTTCTTTTAAAAACCTGGGTAAATTAGTTCATATTTCAAGCCCTAAATTATATTGTCCTCAAGATGTAATGCACAAAGATTCAGTTCGTATAGCGTAATAATTCTGTTATGCATCGTCTTCACATAAAGTGAACTCAAAAACTATTTAGACGCTTCAGCCACACTTAAAATGTCTCAACGTAATTGTATTAGATAACAAAATATCAAACCAAGTGGCATTTGAGATGCAAATGATGCATCATTTCTTTGAAAAATATTCTGTAGTTCTATATTCTCATTGGTAATGATGGTAATTAATAACGTTGAAAACCCTTGTTGTAATGAGATAACTTTCAGACATTTTGAATTGTGGTTAGTGTCCAAATACTTTTTGAGGCCACTGCATTGTGACCTATTTGTGGAAACAAAAAATTAATTCTGCACATTATAGTTTTTTTTTCTCTTCCTGCAGTTTGGATGATGTTCAGAAACACACAAGAACGACGTGTCAGAATTTCAAATGCCAAGAATAGCACAAAGGAGTCTGTTCTTCTTTAAAAATTTGCTGTCATCACTTGTTCCCTGGAGTATCACTGATGAACAGTTAAATTTATCATACTGATGATGAGAAAACGCATGCATGCCAAATTATGCATATCAATAAAAGCTCTTGTTTTCCATTTACTACCAAACCTAATTTGAATATAGAGTCAAAACATAATTGTATTAAAGAAGAAATTCAACTCTGGAAAGCCAAGATAAGCAAACAGAACAAAGTGTCACCAATAAAAATTGTGAACTCGAGTCATTTGCAACATCCAGCCCTGAATGACAACATACTCCGAGTGCGCTATGGCAGATAACCAGTAGGTCAGGCCAGGTAGAAGCATCTCTCCAACCTTACTGCAACTGACCGGGCCCTGAGCTTGTGGCATGCTTATAGACAGGAACCAGATATACTTTCATCCCAGATATTGACTCGCTAAAACAATTTGTCATTTGCCCTACAGAAACACCAGGATGATGATGATGAAGAAGGAGAAACTGGTTTGACGGAGGAGGAGAAAGAGGAAGAGGAAAAAGAAGTGGAGAAACTTGGAAAGCTTCAGTATTCGTTGGATTACGACTTCCAGGATAACAAGGTTAGGATGTCAGATTAATGACATCATATGCTGCAATATAAACTAATAACATCGCCCAGTATCATATCTGTTGAATGAAATCCAATATTTGTTTCATACTAAATTTGGGGTGCTGATTCCAGAGCTAGAGGCTGTTTGGCAAAAGCACGTCACATTTTATCACAAAAATTGATGCATTTTGTAGCATTTTTGCTTTCGTCAATCATTTAAGGTGAAGAAGTCTTGTATTGTCCCTTAATCAGCGGAAAAACACTACAGAGGCATGATTCCCATCTTCCTCTGAGCCAGATTACAACTAATTTATTCAATTCTCAGATCAATTTCACATGTATGAATGACTCTGAAGACACTATTTTATGCTTAATTTCAAGGTCAGTGACAGAAGAAAATGCAAACATGACTGTTTTCCAACATATTGAACATATTTTTCCACTCTTTTGCTTATTGTGAGTTAAATTATACTTTTTGATTATTGTTATTTTTGTTGTTAAAAACAAAATTATTTTTGTTGTGACATTTGACTGCTGTTATTTTGAGAAGTGCATTATAGCTGATATATTTTATAATATTTTATATACATATATACTATATATACATATGGGCCATTCTACAGAATTGGTGCAAAATGCTGTCCCACACCCAAAAAACACATTTAAAAAGCATTTAGGTATTAAAATCTTAGATGTTTACTAAGATCCTTCTATTATCTATTGAAACCCACAATAATATTTAAAATATTAATATATATAAAATCATCATTTATTGGGTATTTTCAATTTGGAGGTAGCTGTCCCATAATAAAAAAAAAAATATATATATATATATATTTTATATTTTCTTTGTAAATTATGAAACTTTATGTAAAAAGTGTGTCCCGCCTTTTTCATGTCACTACCAAAACAGTGTATGTTTTGGTCCATTGGCCGAGACTGATTTTAACTACACCCCTAAATTTATGATCAGGAAATATTCCTGTGTCCCCGTCTCTCATAGCTACAAGGTGTGAGTAGATAGGTCCCATCATTTTGAGGTAAATGTGTTCACAGAACAATCTGTGTAACTTTAAGGAACGTCACTACCGAACACCTTTTTTCTGCAATTAAGCACACTTTTTTGGGAGTTATTCCATAACATTTAGTTTTAATATGTGTACCACTATGTGTCGAGTTTGATATGTATTTAGATAGGCATCATCATTTTGAGATAATTGTGTTCAAAAGTCTGAAAAATCTGTGTGTATCTTGACCGAACGTCACTACCGAACACCTTTTTTCTGCAATTAAGCACACTTTTTTTTAGGAGTTATTCCATATCATTTAATTATGCGTTTACAACTATTCAGAACTGTGCTAGCTAACCATGTGCTGATTAGCATCTTTGAGCTGAATATGTAAAATTGTCACAACTGAATCAGTCACTGCTGAAACATGTGGTGGAGTTTCGGTAGTGACATCTTTGGTTTTATTTGGGAGTTAACCCATTGAATTGTCACTACCGAAACAGTCACGACCGAAACATGTCATCATTGTTTAGGTAGTGACAAAGGGGAACACACAATCCTCATATTTTGGGGAAATAAACAAAATGTTAGTACAGTTATGCGATTTTTTTGTATTTTAATATTTTTAGTATGTGAGTTAATATTCTGTAATGTGATGTGGTCGCTACCAAAGCGTTACTGTCGCTACCAAAAATGTGCAGTCATTACCGAAACATGGGATGTTTTGTCAAAAATAAAGTATACTGAATTATCAACTAGTATGTTAAGATAGTTTTCGGCTCAGTGTATATTCAAACTAATAAATCCTTAACTTTGAAGTCAGTATGATCAACTTTTTGCCTTTTACAAAGAACAATTAGATTCAAAATTCAACAAATCTCATATTACACATGAAATATTGTTAAAAATGTAATTGTTTTTGATTTACCTCTGAAAATTTTTTTAAGAAAATAGCAAAAAAGTATATATTTACAATGTAGATGTAAGCTAAATCTTAATAGGTCAATATAACCCTTCTAATTAAATTATTATTACTGTGTTTCGGTAGTGACAAATTTGGGAAGAGGACAAATATTCCATACATACAAATTGTTTTTTGGAAAAGTACATTTTTTTCCAAGACGTTTCCAACTCTGACTTTGGACCAGTTCTGTAGAATGGCCCATATAGTTTTGTTTGCACTCAACATCATCAAGTTAGGTAATTTTAGGCCTCTTTTTCAAATCTGCAGGGTTTTATTTTTTTAGAGGTGTTATGATTCTGTTTCTCATTTTATCATCTTCTTTTTTTTTTTTTTTGATAATGAAACATGTTGTTAGTTATTCATTTTGGCTCATATTAAAATATATCAAGATGCATTTGGACACAATTATATGATTAAGTACGAAAGTCTTGGGGTAATTAATAGGAATTTTGTTCTCGTTTTGTGTCCCACTGAAAAATAACAGCATGTTTGTGTTTGGACCAACATGAGACTGAGTAAACAATGACAAAGCTTTTTCTTTTTTGGGTGAACTATTCTTTTAACTAATACATCTCTTAAAAGTTCCCTGTATTATGATCTTTGAGAAAGTTTGTGCTCGTGCTGCGCTGTATCTTTCACTAATGATGGTGTTTAACAGCACGGCTTAGTATCTGCTGAGTCACAGCTGTAGGTAAAGTTGCTTACGGCTCAACCAAAATGAGTTTAAACAAACGTTAATGACAGTGAACCGTTATTCTTACCATGTGCTTTAATGCAAACAGATCCAGTTTTAATATGCATAAAGCCACATGATATTGCTAGAGTATAAAAAAGTGTCTTTATAAACAAGACTTTCAGTTTATAATTCAGTTTAAAATAATGCATAAAGCCTGACAGGCATTTCACGGCCATTTCTATACTATCATTTATTAAATGGTAGCACATCCCAAAGGCAAATTTTAGTGTAAATTTCTCAAGAAAAATCTGAGAAGCAGGAGACTATTTGCTGTCCATTTAATATCATTTAAAATGTACCAAAGAGATCACATGTGGGATTTAATATTATTTCTTCAAGATATTCTTTCCATTCACTATGTCTCTTCTCTTGCTTCTGTTTTTCTTTCACAGCTGACCGTGGGAATCATGCAGTGTGCCGATCTGATTTCCATGGACTCTGGCGGAACGTCCGACCCTTACGTTAAAGTGTTCATCCTACCAGACAAGAAGAAGAAGTTTGACACCAAGGTGCACAAAAAGACCCTCAACCCAGTGTTCAACGAATCCTTTGTCTTCAAGGTAAGCTGTTTATTATTTTAAAACGACTCATTGTATTGTCAGTCATTTTGTTGGTCATATATAGAGGCATAAAGCATATCGAATAAAACGAAAATAGCGATGTGCCTCCAGTGATGTTGGTCTGTCATTAGTGTTTATTGGCGGTTTTCTGCAACACCAGCATTTCGGTCCTATTGCTTCCAGCAGCTTGTGAATGAGCTTTAGTTTCCCAGAGTCAGTAATGAGCTCCGGAGGGGCCGAGCATCCTCTGGTGGACACTGGTAGAGCTCTAATAGTCTCACTCGGAGAAAAGTGATCTAGGACAGGAACAATTGGCCGTCTTCAAAGCCCCTGCCTTACAGTGAGAACGGCTGACTGTGTTTCTAAAAATGGATCGGCCGTATCTGCACACTGTATGAGTGAGATAGAGAAAACAAAGCCAAGTGAGGAGGAGGTTTTCTCATGCAAACGATGTGAAAAATCAACTGTAAACTGAATGTAATTGTTTTTTTAAATGCTAATATATATATATTTAATATATTAAACTATTTGATTATATATTAATATTTTATATTTTAATATAAAAAAAAAAATAAGTTTTAGTCTTTGATTCACAGTCACACATATTTAATATATTATACTATTTGATTATTTATTATAATTTAATATTTTAATATTTAAACAAAAATAAAAAACTAATTAAAGAAAGTTTATAGGCTTTGAGTCATATAGTCACAAACATTTAATATATTTTTAAAATATTATAGTGTTAGATTATGCGTTATAATTTCAATACTATTTTATTATGTATTATAATTTAAATAAAAAATTATAATTTCTAAATTATTATTTAAAAAAATGTTTATCAGTTGTAATTCACATTAGTCACAAATATTTCATGTATTTTAAGATACACTATGTGAACAAAAACATTTATGGTTTGGATTCACAATCTCACACTTTTTAATATATGTGACCCTTGACCACAAAACCTCTTAAGTCTTAAGTCGCTGGGGTATATTTGTAGCAATGCCCAAAAAAACATTGTATGGGTCAAAAGATCATGTTCCATGAAGATATTTTGTAAATGTCCTTCTGTAAATATATTAAAGCTTAATTTTTGATTAGAAATATGCATTGCTAAGAACTTCATTTGGACAACTTTAAAGGCGATTTTCTCAATATTTAGATTTTTTTGCACCCTCAGATTCCAGATTTTCAAATAGTTGTATCTCGGCCACCAAACCATAACAAACCATACATCAATGGAAAGCTAATTTATTCAGCTTTCAGATGATGTATAAATCTCAATTTCGAAAAATTGACCCTTGTGACTGGTTTTGTGGTCCAGGGTCACATATTATATTTAATATATATTATTTAATACATGTTTTATAAAATAATATTAATTTTGTATTTTAATATTTAAAAAAATTATGTCACAAACTTTTAATATATTTTAAGATATTACACTATTTCCTTTTATTTTAATATTTAAAAATGTTAATAGGCTTTGCTTCACAAACTTTTATTATATTGTTGAATATTCAACATTTTTTGTTTTAATATGCTAAAATATATTTGAAGACACATTTTTGAATAATCTGTTTCTACCTGTCTATCGATGGCAGAACTAAGCATCTCCTATATATAACAATCCTCAAAGGACAATATGTTCTATGCTCAGATTTATGACAGCACTGCAAAAACGGTTTGAAACACCTTTATGTATAATTTATGTTGATTCTTCTCAATGGTTTCCCTGTTAGATCGCATACGAGGAGCTGGGTGGCAAGACGCTGGTCATGTCTGTGTATGACTATGACCGCTTCTCCAAGCACGACATCATCGGTGAGGTCAAGCTACCCATGAACACTCTGGATCTGGGAAAGCCGATCGAGGAGTGGAGAGACCTGGATAGTGTTGAGAAAGAGGAGGTGATTATTAAAGAATCTGCTATTAGGATCTATTTTTAACTGATCCGAGACAGATTTGAAAAGCAAGCAAGCAGAAATGCTTTGGATCAGTACCTTCAAATCATAAATGATCACCCATTGATATCTTCTTCTTACAGCCGGAGAAGCTTGGTGACATCTGCATCTCTCTGCGTTACGTTCCCACTGCGGGCAAACTGACCGTTTGCATCCTTGAAGCCAAGAACCTGAAGAAGATGGACGTGGGCGGCCTGTCTGGTGAGAAACAAGCTGAGATATATGAGACCAGTAAGATATATTTCATATGTTTGATGCAATTAACTCAACATTTGACCTTTTGCAGACCCGTATGTGAAGATCCAGCTATTGCAGAACGGCAAGCGTCTAAAGAAGAAGAAGACTACGGTGAAGAAGAACACACTGAACCCTTACTACAATGAGTCCTTCAGCTTTGAGATCCCTCTGGAGCAGATGCAGGTAGATTTGAACTTATGTTTTTTATTCTTATTATTTGTTTGGAAAAGTCACATCATGCAACATATTAGTACATAAGATGTTTTCATATTCATCATTGCTTTTCTGTACATTTTTCCAAGCAAACCAAGACAAAATACAAAGAAAAAAATAAAAAATCAAAGGAAAATAAATAAAAATACCAGTAAACATTTTTTTAAAGATTTTTAAGAAGATCAATGCAGGGTATTATTATAATGTAATTGATTGTGATATTTTTTCTGATATATTTGAAACTTTTTCTGTTGACAAAATATAATTAATAACTTAAGACAGTATTACAGGCTGTAAACCAATTCTTTGTAATTGTTTTCTTAGAACCAGCTAACATTATTTTAAATAAATACTGGTAATCTGTAATATTTTATATTTGTTATTTTTTATTTTGGGGTGTAAAGCCCAAATAAATCACTTTAAAGGAGACATATTATGCCCCTTTTTACAATATGTAATATTCCTTGGTTGGTAGATGCACCAGGGACCCTGATTATAGCACTTAAAACCTGGAAAATCAGATTTTCATGATATGTCATCTTTAAAAGTAAATGGAAATTTAATATCCAATACATATTTTATAATTTCATGGACATTCCCTTAAAAGGATTTAATTTTATTACAACGCCAGAAAATATGGTAATAATTAGCATTTATATTCCTACATTGTATACAATGCAATAAATCATCTGGAAAAAAATAAAATGTTTTTTTGGATGGGCAGGTGTAATAAAATAATGTACTACATTTTTCGAATTCCCTCCTAAATGATGTTATAACAATTTGTACCAGAATAATGGTTGATTTTGATTTAAAATTTGGGGGGGAAAAAGATTTAAACATCTTCTTAACCACATGTTCTTGAACATACAGTAGAAACAGAAATATTGTGCAATATTAATACTAATTAACTTCAAAACAACTGTTTTCCGTTTAAATATATATTGAACAGTAGTTGATGCAGTTTTTACTACCAGATTTTATAATACGTTTGGCTAAACGATTTTCTGTTTCTCTCTAGAAAATCCTTGTGGCGGTGACGGTCTTCGACTACGATAAGATCGGCAAAAACGATGCCATCGGGAAGATCTTCATTGGCAGCAAAGCCACAGGCACAGCGCTTAAGCACTGGTCTGACATGTTGGCCAACCCGCGCCGCCCCATCGCCCAGTGGCATCCCCTCCAACCGGAGGAAGACATCGACGGTGCTCTGGCTGCCCTTAATGCCAAGAAGTAACTTCTCACATCTCAGCCTGACTAACCAACTAACTAACCAACCCGCCACTGCATGACACCCCACACTCATCCGTACGCGCTCTGCCAGTTTGTTTCGCATAATCACCAACAAAAATATTCAGGATGTTGTTTGTCGGATAAACTGGTGAGCTGGAATTTTGTGCAATAATAGTGAGTTTATGTCGCAAATATCTACACATTTGCACAATTACAAAGCAATTATCACGTTCACTTAAACGTCCCAGGAGAAGCAACCGGTGTAGGGCAGATTTGTTTACATTGTCGATAGGTAAATTAGACACATAAAAACATGTCACATTTGCATTTGTGCCCAAAAGAACGAGGATTCAGGTCTATGGTTTTGTAATAGTGCAGTTAGATAGGACTATATTGATAAATGGGCTAATAATTCATGAAATGTTGCAATAAACATTCAACACGAGTCAAGCATGGTTTACACAGTCAGTGTAAAGGTATAACAGTATGGTATGACACATCTCTTTTACTGTAATGCTGCGGTTACAGTGCCAAATCCAGACGTTCGTGTATCTCACATATAGAAGATCCCATCTGGCCAAACCTGACAGGCACTAAAGCTGGCTGTGAATGTATCGTGGGATCATACAAATGAAATTTGCACTCAGTCGTTGTGTCCTCGAGAGCTCGCTGTCGTGTTTTCATGATCTCGGCCTGTTTGACATACATTTGAATACCTGGTTGACGTCACTGCCGCCTTTGTTCGGAGCTCAAACTCATTCAGTAAACTCCACTCTCCGAGATGCCAGAGTATTAACTGGAATGGAATAGTAAGTGTGCGTGTGGTAAACGATACTAATAAAGCAATCCGAAGCGTTCAGCTCCACTCTTCATCCCCAACGATGCTTGTGTATATATGCATTGATCATGGTTTCTACAGCATGTACCTATAAATTGATGTACATAGAAGCATGTTTTAAAGATAGAGCATAATTATATTGTGTACGTGTGGCATTTGTCATTTTGATAATAAAATGTAGAGGAAAGAAAATGCACTGAATGCACATTTTATGAAATTTCCCTGAAAGGGCATAAGACATTTAAGAATATATTAATATAGGGTTTTTCAAAATACTTTTCAATTTGCAACAGAGAAATAAGAGCTGTGTGTAACGTGAGTGTTAGACTCATGCTTGTGGTGTCAGTTTGATTTTATTTGCATTTGTTTAACTTTCTTGTCCATGTATTTGTCACGTTTCTGTGTTTGAATGTCTTGTTAGGGTGAATCTCTCAAAAACACATCCGGATTACATTTCACCACAAAATCAGAAGACTCAAAGTGTATTTTGCATTAAGAAATGTTTTGGACCATTTTATTTTATTGCATTGTGTTTTATCACATTGCATTGCATTAGGTTAATGAGAAGTCAGTGTAAAAAATGTGCTTAATTTTTATAATAATGCAAAAAGTAGTAATGGTCCTAAAATAGGCTTCATTTGATCCTATTCGAAATTTTGATTGATATGACCTGAATGTTGTCTCGTGAGATTCACCTTTTAATGTACAGTGTGTAAAACCACTTGCTGAAACTATAGAAGCCATATGCATGGGCCCTCGCAAGAGCTCATCGTTTTCAGACAAAACAAACACCTCAACAGATATCAGTAATATTAACCTTCACGCATTGGAGCCAAAACGATGGGAGAGCACCTGTCTGTTCAAAGACGGTTTTGGTTTTGAAGTTCCTCACAATAACTGAAAGAATATGAAAGTGATGCCCTCGTGTTTATAGTACGACAACTGAAGTCATTTGAGATTACATAATAAACAGCATATTCACATAATTGCTTGCAAATAAATTATTAAGAGATGTATTATCATAATTATGGTGATCCAAGTGTACAATGGCATGACTTTATTATGCAATATGTGTGCAATTGACAACCAGCCCAATAGATCAGTTGTTTATTTGTAAATGTAATTTTCTGTATGATTTTCTGAATAACTACGTTGTATATTTTCACATAATGATCTATCATTTTCCTATTTTTGGAAAATTACTGATCAGATGGCACTGCTGAAGTATTTTATTTCCATGTTTTAGACGGGGCAGCTGAATGTTTGTCTAAATCAAAATACATAGAGGCCAGGATGGGTAATTAATTCCTTCATTGAATGTTCGGTCAGTTGTATGTAATCATTTCTTTTACTATGACTTTATGCTCGGTTGAACAGCCTTGGACTGTCTACAGCTGCTTAGGAATATTTGTCTGCTTCTGTGCGTTGTACTTTGCAGTAGGACCAATGTAGAATAATGTCTTAATGTTTCTTCTGTGGACGTGAATCAAACTGCAGGGCTCTGGTGTTCCTCTGCAGAGCAAGCAACAAAATCCCAGTCTTCCCTGGGACACTGTGGATGCCAGTCGACTGGCCCCCTTCCCTCTCTGTGTTAAGACAGTTTTCCATTCATTGCATTCGGACCATATAGTCACAAAGACCTTCCCGATGCAATACTGCCAACATCTCCGCTTTCTAACATCTCCTAACACTCCCCGTCCATCCCATCTAAAGACTCTCCCAAAGAACTGATGCCTTCCTTTTGCGTTCGTCCAGTGTGGAGGTTCCAGTGTTGTCGATTCCTTTCGTGGATGCTTTGGCATGCTTTGAAATCCCCTTCTACAATCTAACACGTCAGCCAATGAAGAAAAACGAAAGCCTTTCCTCTGGCCGCTCTTGTAGCTTCTTGTCATCCTGTACCGATGTGAAAACCTCGATGAAAACCAATGCCAATTTATCCATGCAGATTTATCCATGAGTTGTCGATCAGTTAATCATAGGAAATAAAGTTCTTTTAAATATAGTATTTGTTTGGAGTGATGTGTCAGTCCTTGAAATTAAACATGAATGAGTATTAACTCTGGAACACAAAACCAGTCATAAGGGTCAATTCTTTTAAATTGAGACTTATACATCAGTTGAAAGCTGAATAAATTAGCTTTCCATTGATGTATGGTTTGTTAGTATAGAGCAATATTTGGCCGAGATATGACTAGCTATTTGAAAATCTGGAATCTGAGGGTGCAAAAAAATCAAAATATTGAGAAAATCGCCTTTAAAGTTGTCCAAATGAAGTTTTTAGCAATGCATATTACTAATCAAAAACTAAGTGTTGATATATTTACGGTAGGAAATTTACAAGATATCTTCATGGAACATGATCTTTACTTAATATCCTAATCAATGAGTTTTGGCAACAACAACAACAACAACAAAAATAATTGATCATTTTGACCCATTCAATGTATTGTTGGCTATTGCTACAAATATACCCCTGCTACTTTTGGCTGATTTTGTGGTCCACGGTCACATATTTTAACCAAAACAACATAGGTATTTGTCATATGTAGCCATGTTTTTGTTTTTGTAGCTTTTGATTCCTAGTGATTATTTCACGTTATTATTTCATGAAGAGATGTCTTACACAAATGGAAATCTGTCCCTGAAAGCTGTATGAATTATTTAAAATATATAATAATAATGAGTATAAGTATATAACATGCAATGAAATGTATAGTAATTATTTTTCTGTGATAAAAACAACGGTTACTTAGTCGGTGAACTTTGATTCTCTGTGATTGGTCCGTCCTGCTCTGTGCTGAGAAAAGTAACACCACATGACAAAGCCCAGCTACTTTAGTATAGTATTGATGTGCGCATGCCCAGTAGCGCCATACGTATCTCTTCTAGCCTTAACCCGGGTGTGTTTATCCCTAAATCTGACAACAAACGGAGAAAGTCTGCCGTTTCTTTTTTAGTAATCATCAATTTTCCCCAACACAGAAAAGGCTACGATTTATATGTCCAGGTAATGGGTTTGTTTTGTTGGTGTGTGATGGTATTTTAGCACTGCACACACACTCCCGCTATAATCAAACACTGCTGTTGGGTTTGCACTGCTTGACTGGTTTTGAGTAGTCTGCACGAACTATAGTAATGTCATGTGAGTGTATGTTGTGCTGTTTTCCCTCAGTCAGCTCCGCAGCATGTCCGCAGACCTGGATCTTTCTCCTCCGGAGGTTCCTGAACCCACTTTCTTCGAGAGCCTCCTGCGTTATGGATTATTTCTAGGAGCCATTTTTCAACTCATCTGTATTTTAGCAATAATCATACCCACATCCAAGAGCCACGAACAGGTGCGGAATTGTCACAACTCTCTGTAATGGCTTGTTTCGGTCAAAGGGCCCCAAATAGAATCAGGTCTTTCTGAAACAGCTGTTCTTGAAGTTGGATATCTTCAGATGTTTTTATATCAGGGTATGACAATGATGGCTTTTTGGGGCATACACGTTATTGCACCATAGGCCTTTTAAGCAAGAAACTACAGGCAAAAACCTTGAACGCTCTGGTCAAGATTTTGGGCTATTTGGTTTCTATAACAAGTCTTCTTTCAGACTAGTGGAGAGAAATCATCTTCAATACACATGTGAAGTGTTTATTTCATCACGCTTTATCTATTTGTGCCTGTAGCAAGAGCCACGAACAGGTGCGGAATTGTCACAACTCTCTGTAATGTCTTGTTTCGGTCAAAGGGCCCCAAATAGAATCAGGTCTTTCTGAAACAGCTGTTCTTGAAGTTGGATATCTTCAGATGTTTTTATATCAGGGTATGACAATGATGGCTTTTTGGGGCATACACGTTATTGCACCATAGGCCTTTTAAGCAAGAAACTACAGGAAAAAACCTTGATTGTTACGCTCTGGTCAAGATTTTGGGCTATTTGGTTTCTATAACAAGTCTTCTTTCAGACTAGTGGAAAGAAATCATCTTCAATACACATGTGAAGTGTTTATTTCATCACGCTTTATCAATTTGTGCCTGTAGATTAAAAAAACAATACATCTTTAAAAGCCGTTTTCTCTTAAATGAGTTAATCTCCACTTCAGCAGCACTTACAATACAATACGTATACACTGAAGCTGAATAAATAAGCTTTCCATTGATGTATGGTTTGTTAGTGTAGGACAATATTTGGCTGAGATGCAACTATTTGAAAATCTGGAATCTGAGGGTACAAAGAAATCAAAATATTGAGAAAATCAGCTTTAAAGTTGTTCAAATGAAGTCCTTAGCAATGCATATTACTGATCAAAAATTAAGTTTTCATATATCTATGGTAGGAAATTTACTAAATATCTTCATGGAACATGATCTTTACTTAATATCCTAATGATTTTTGGCAAAAAAAAAAAAAAAGTTTGACCCATACAATGTATTGTTGGCTATTGCTACAAATATACCTGTGCTACTTATGACTGCTTTTGTGGTTCAGGGTCACATTTATATAGCACTTCATAGGGTCTGCAATCATGTCGACAGTATTGCTAGAAATTAAGCAGCTCATATATCATTCACCTTATATAATGCAACTTTTTTTTTTTCCTGAAGACATTGTTTTTTTTATCCAGCCTGGCTTTAGCCAATGTTCAGACTTCTCTTCTGGAAATGTGTGCAAATTAGGGCATATTTAATTAGGTAATGCATCATTTGCATATTTAAACAACATTTCAGAAAACTTGTAATACAAAACAATACTGTGATTAATCAGCTGGGGAAATCTGGTAAACTCTTTTAGTTCAAGATTTATTCTGTTCATCTGCGGTGTCTTGAAAATTGGAATGATTTTATTCCTAACTGTAGATGGAGACGCCGGAGCCGGCTGATGCTCGCAGCTCTGAGCAGAACCGAAAGCCAAAGGGACCCGTTCAACAAATCCGGCAGAAACTGAAAAAGGAGAGCAAGAAGAAGAGATAGAGTGTGTGAGACTGAACAGTGACCCTGTGTGTGTGTGTGTGTGTGTCTGACAAACTCACTAATGATGGATTGACTTACAGCATTAGAGGACGTGGATTGAACAAGATCAGGCATTAGATCTTCTGGTTTGAGTTTGGGGTTTGTCATGTCTTTCAAAACTGTGTTTGTATGTCATGTTATGTATGTATCATTGTTTGAGTAATCTTTGATTTTATTTTTTATGCCAATTTCAAGTACATTGATAGGAATAAACTGATGACCATTTTTCTGCTTGTTTCTTTCTGTTGTGGTAAATATTTTTTTAGTACTAATAGAATCCAAGCCTAATGCATGCAAGATATTTACGAAAAAAAAAATATTAAAAATGTTTTTCTTAAATGTTTTATTCCCACAGGTGTTTTTTTCTTAAGGTTGTTCTTGAAGCATTTTTCCCCCCGCTTTAAATAGACTGTTCGTGCTCACTATATATAATACATATTACAACTTGATTTTCTTTTATAAGTAAATTATATTATAAAATCTCGTATATGACAAATAATTGTCAGACAACAAGCTCATTGAACACTTTATTAAAAATGGTCATGCCGTGCTTGCTACTTTAAAAGAGTGAATGGACAAAAATATAGTACAATGTATCAGTGTGTGGTTTGAATTGGATATTCTTAAGCATTTAAAAATAGAACTTTGAACTAGCTTGAGAACTTTCTTTTTTAAACATTAATATTTTTGTGATTCCGCTCTGACTAATTTGAGTACTTTAAAATGCAAAATATTTTTCATACAATTTAAATAAACCGTATGAACAACTATTTTGCATTTTTAATATTGCATAGAGCAATGCTGTCAGAAAATAATGTATTGGCTTTCATTTATGAAATGGTAGCTACAGTATTTTAACAAAATATGAAGAACTCTGATATAAACATTAGAATTTAGATTATTGACTTAGCCGTTAGACAATCTAATATTGATGGAAACTATAAACTACTAACTAATAATCAGCATCCACTTTTATTAGTATTATTATCTGACAGTGCCCAAACCAAACATTTTGGCTTGTTTCTACTCAAGTTTCAACTTGTTACGTAAAACAAAAACACACTTTAAAACATTTTATTTGAAATGCACATCGATAAATATGTCTTACAAGGTCAAATTTTGATTAAAAACATGATTTGAGAAAATAGGCATTATATATTTATATATATAAACAACAGTAAAGAGCACTAATACTACATCTAACATGATCTTACTGGTCAAATTTTTGTGTACAAATCATAGATATGAAAAACCAGCAATTTAAATAGATATCAATGCCAAGATGTCTTCATCTGTGATGCTGTATCTTGAGAGAGGATGATGATTTCTCTTCCACAACTGACATCAGAGATTATTTTTATGAACGAGGTCCTTTCTTATAACAGCATTCACTGCAGGGAAAAATAAAAACAAAATCATTCGTGGTGTTTACAGAGTTTCTTGAAATCTTTAAATCAGAACAGAAAGTCATAAATTCGTGGCATTAAATATCTTTGTCAGTATTTTTGTTTTCCAATACAAATATCTAAAGCCCTTAAATCAAGATATATTTATTTGAGATGCAAAATGAAGATTGAAGAAACCAAACAAAATTAGGTGAGCTTATGGTTAAAACAAGAGCAAATATCTGTCAATGAGGTATGAAAACTTGTTTCCTTTTGAATTAGGTGTATTTTTTGAGCCCATTGGCAGATATTTGTCCTTGTTTTAACCATAAACTCACTTTATTTTGATTAACTTCACAGAAAACAAGAATTCATTTTGCTGCTCAAGTAAATGCATCTCAATTTAAGAATCCTTAGACATTTGCAGTGGGGAAAAAAATAGGTACGAAGAACAGCACTTTTTTTGCAGTGTGATGAGAAAGGTACAGTTGGTTTGGAGCAAAGCTTCTTTTTTTTTGTAAAATGAAAAAAGTTATGGTGATTGGTTGAAAGTTGTATTTTCAAACTTTTGCTAATACAACTCATTGTGTTCCTTAGACGTTTAGAGAACATTCT